ATGCCTACGTCTGCCCCGTGTCCTGCACGTGACACATGCGTCCAAATGATGTGATGTTCGGTTAGTAGGGATGGCTGGCCCCCGAACACTCAGAGACCTAACGTAGAACGCGGCTAGTTCCAGCGACAGAAGCCATTTTCATTCTCCGAATATTTCGCACGCACCGTTTTTCAGACCCCGTCATGACCGCTCTTTATGCACCGTCTTCCTGGTGGAATGTTTTTCCTTCCTTCTTGGATACCCGCCAACAGTTCTGCCGCGCTGGGACCTGATTCTTCCAGACATGATTCCGTGGGGTTGATCCTTCGTGGGGAGTTACTGTCCACCTTCATTCTGGAGAGTTCAGTTGGGGCTCAATCGTAAACCGCCTAGTGTTTGTGTGAAATCACTTGGCTGTATGCTGTTTAAAGCATCGTCTTAGTGACGATTAAATGCTCATCAAACCATTCGGTGGAAGCTGGCTAACTCAATTCCCTCCCCAATGCAATTAGTCCACTAGGCATAGAGTGGCGACTGTAGATTTTCATAGAATATTTTCGACTATCTATGTTATTCTGGTAAGCATTTTACCTCAGGTTTTGTTGTACCACTAAGCTAACCTCACCTGTATGGCTTGTCTCTCTGGGCTTTGTATCGTACCGTGTAATATTTTCGAAAGAAAGTTTAGTGAGATCCCAACCATACAGGTAGTATATTACCGAAATGGAAATTGTTTCCATATATCGAATAACTGTCCAACTGAATCCCTAGTTACCCTTCGTGCTGCAATATCGGCTAAACTACATGAGGCTGGGGATCTAATGGCATCTCATTCTAACACCTCATTTCCCAACTGGGTATAATCTTCTTTCAGGATCTGACCCCTTTGGTGAATGGCCTATTCCATGCGGATGACTATCTCCGTGCAGTTGCTTTCTCAGGTCTCGTGAATTTGGTCCGCGCTGTTTTGACCAATCCAAGCCAATTGCGTGTGGACAACACCAGAATTTTGACCGACCCGGACTCTTATACGATGCTCTTTCTTCTTGGCATTATCCTATTGAATGGATCCACAAATCCAGTGGCCAGAAAATATCTGGTCACCTCCTTCAATCAGTTGCTTCGTGGGATTCGAAACGCATGTGTTTCGGTCGATGTTGAATCGCTTACAAGCATTCCGCAGAGGCTGTCGTTGGCACCCAAGTCGGTTCTCCTTGAAGCTTCTTTGACGGATTTGTTCCAGTGCGTTCAGTCCAGTCTTTCCGGTACATTGCCGTCAGTGCCCTCACTGCAGCGAAAGACTATATCTGTGAACTGGTTGTGTGAGTTTATGATTTTTTGATCTCCATCAACCTCGTTTTCTGTCCGAGAGCTCTCAAGTGAAGATACCCTCGGGGTGGCATGTTGAGTTATGCCTCCTTTTTTCACCTTCACCTTGGATCACGATGTCAATTTCTGTTTATTGTCACCGGCATCTTTTTCTGAAAGCTAGTTAATGAAATGCCATTGAGGTCACTGATTGTCCTTTGTAGGTGACCTTATTCAATTCTTTTCTCCTCTTTGGGGCACACTGTCGCCGTTTGAGTTTTCTGACGAGGCGCCTTCGCCGCTACATCATCAGAATGCATTCTGGCCTGGAATGACTTATCAGCGCATGAAGGTGAATGTGGAATTGATGTATACCATCATCGGTCTGCTGAACTTGAACGAATCAGAATCGGATGTCCATGGACAGTGGCGTACAGGTTATACATCAGGTGAGTGATATTCAATATTGATAAGACGTGTCTCCGGCCGAACCTGTTGGCCACGTTACTTCGGTACCCGCCGAGTAGACTGGTGTTCGTGTTTTGCACCAATCAACCTTCCTATCCCATGCTGTCACGAAACTTGTTGTTTGGTTCGCCATATTTCGCCTGCTTTTCAAGGATTCATTCACCCCCTAGTTTTCTGGTTTTCGCGCTTAATCCTTATTTGGGTACACCAAAAGAAATGTCACTAGGTCACTGACGAATAGTCATCCACATTGCGGGTTGAAGGGTCCATCAACAAGTGTCCGACTGAACCGCGACAGATCGGTTCTATGTTTTGGCGTATGAAATTAACATTTTTTTAATTTCAGTGGTAGTGGATCGAGTGCGCATATTTGATATTATTAATAGATTACGTTGTATTCAGTGGATTCCCACGTGTCGCCATTTAATTGAAAAGCAACATCCCTTGGCCTGCTAACAGCCCAGAATCCAGATAACCTTTTACTGACTGAATTTTAACCCAGCAACAAACGTTTCCCCTAGTTTTCCTGGAGGCCCTAAATTGTGGTCGAGGTATCCAAAAACACAGTTCACCGGAATTCCAGTGGATGTGCCATTTGTGCTCCCGTGATAATCTTTGTTTAAACAAACAAACCATCCTGACGGCGTGCATCTGAATAGCGAATCCCATGAAGAATTGAGAAGTACGGTCGAGTCTTGTTCTTCTTCTACTACAGAAGAACACTCCAAATTGTAGTCGCTCTTGAGGGATAACTGCCATGTAGGTGTTCGTTCCTTTTCGTACTGGGATTCGTACCCATGCGAACTGGTGCGTTGTAGTGTGTGAATTAACGCTTTGTAGACGGATGAGAATAGCCTAGTAGTTGAACACAATCGTACAGAACTAATAAGCATGGTGTTCTGTAAGTACATATGGTTTGTCTTAATTCGGCTTACATGACTGTTCTCGTCGCAAGTTACTTTCTAGTACCATCGTGGTCATCGCACATCGAATCTCTCATGTGCTAAGGAACTTTGCTCGGTTTTGGTCCATGCAGCGATGGTCCAGGGAAAGCACTTCTAACCCAAGAAAAGCGAAGACGTAACTAATCAGCTAACTCTATTCACTAAACCGACGATTCACCGGTCCAGTGTGCGACCAGCGAAATCACGATCGCAGTCGCTGGAGATTCAGCTTGTTTTGTCTCCAGGTCCAGCTGCTCTCGAGTCTTACACGGTGAACTGATGAACTCCAGTTCGTATCACTTCTGCCCATTATCTTCCTTTCTGTACTTCGGCTTTCCACTTCATGGAATGCATGTCGGGAACTGGCAGATTTTCAAAACTTTCATTTGCCTGGGTCCTATTTCCTCATATTCCCTCGAGTATATTACAGAGGCTGCTTCGGATTCCTGTTCCCTGTATTTGGCAGATCCTTCTCAAATAACCTAGACGGTTGAAGATGATAGTGACGTACGTATATTCCACTGCAGTTTGCCAATCTGGGGAACTCCATATCCGTAGCTCGTTCGATTTAGTGAGATTTCGTCCAAGTGAATGTAATCTTAACTGAACAGCCGAGAATTAGTACTATACGACTGCTCCATCTATTCTGCGGATGTGCGCATCCCTCGAGAGGGCCCGACCGCCAACATCCTCTGTGGTGATTGACATCTATCCCATTAGGCCACCAGAGTCTGACCAACGGTGTTATCCACCGAAAGGTTGAGTGTTTAACTCTCCCCAGGTGTTCATGAAATACGCAATGCTGATGATTCATTCGTGTGCTGCTTCTTGGCTTTTCACTATAGGTCTAACCTACTTGCAGGTTTCTTTCAAACTATCTGATTTCTCTCTAGAACTTGGAGGTCTCGTGGGGACGGGGGGGGGGTAGATAACACCGGGATCATTTGATATAGATCGTCTGGCTAAATGACCGTAGCGCTTTATCGTGTCTAAATCCAAGCTAAGCATACGGCTAATCAGACATTTGTGTCCTGATGGGATAGCAATCAGCTACTAATCAGGAGGTGTCGAGTTCGCTTCCCTCCGGCGGTTCGTGAGTTACGCACTGATGATTCCTAACTTGGATGAAGCATTCTTCTCACCCGTTTGACAAGTATGGCTTCTCCCCTGGAGCGCTTCTTCCCAAGGAAGTGCTGTACCATCTCTCGATATTCGCCCGCTTGCAGTACATTACGACCTCCAATAACCTAAGTAAATTCGGCCGTATCGAGGAGTAGTTTTATTTTGAGGAAGAAACACCTGATGCACAGCAACCCTGTCGTTTTGGAGATGTAATAATCAGATACTAAAAGTGTTTTATCACGATTTCAGCATGGCTTCTGTTGTCATACACCCCTCTCAGCATCCCTACTCAACATTCGACGACTGGTTGAGAAGTTGGCCTGTGAGTTATGTTGGGATTACAAATCTCCAGCCGTGTTGCATTCACTACTGGACAGCCTTCGTTTATTGAAACCAGATGTGAGTTCTCGTTTGAGCTCTAGCTGGATTTGTTATTCCTGGATTTCTGAATTCTTGCTGATGGTCCTTCACAATGGATGACCACATATCGTTCATTTTTGAGTAATATTCAAGGTTGTATATCCAAAACCAGCACAGTGAGCGCAGTTTTCTTCTGAATCAACTACTACTTTGTTCCAGAAAGCTTTCTTGGCTTTTTGGAATAATTTAATGATGTATGCAGCATGCTTTGGCATACTAAATGAAATGCCAAGTAACATACCAATTGTTCCGAATGTCTCTTGTGATTATCAGCGCCCCCGGTATCCATCGTGTGAGTTGGCTCAACTCTGGGTAGATGAATTCCTGCGGTAAGCTACAAAGACCGTGATGGAGCACTGGACACTATTGTGTTAGCTAAACGTCAAAGTTCTCATAGTGATAGTAAAACCTACCAGAAGCTTGGGATCCTCTCTTCTGGGTGCATTGTTGTATTATAGCGACCATATCATTCTCATGCATATCCCGTAGACCTGATCATGCTGTTGTAGAGATCTGATACCCTTTTTATGTGTTTCATTTATTCAAACAACAACGGCAACCACGCTTTCATTTTCGATGAACGATATTCCACTGAGCATCCGGTTAGCTCTTTTCGGATCGCTCTTCATGTTGTTCTGTCGCTCAATTATCCTATTTGCTCTTCTACAGCTGCAGTCTCAACTACTCGATTTGGTTAGCATGACCTGGGACGATATCAGCTCCGTGCTAACCGAGGATCAATGTGCGACGTTGCTCGCAAGCGCATTACGCTGGTGTGATTCATTCAACGTGGTGGAGTATTCCGCTGGCGGGAATTTGCTTCTATACTGGTACACTCAGTAAGCGTTATCATACTCCCTCAGTTTCGCAGTGGTATTTCCGTTTCTGGTGTTTTGGTTGCCCTCCAAACAGGCTGCTGTTGGTCCGGGTGGCAGAAAGGCCACGTGACTAAGTACGATCTAGAATATTGGTCACTAGTAGTCGCCTACCAATGATCTCCCACTTCTGGCTACTCTAATCAGTTGCCAGCATACATAGTGACGTAGCGCAGCAGTCCTAATCTAAGGCTCTTCCTGCCTATGTGATATGAGACTCACAAGGCAATATTCGTTTTGACCAGGTGATAGAGCCAGTCTCAGTCGACACAAGGATCATTAGGTTGGCGAACTTTGTTCTCGATTTCTATCATACAGCAACTACTCGGTTATGATGTCGTTTCAAACCACACTACTTTTCCGCCTCGTTTTTTCTGTATGACCTCTAGTAGTCTCGTCACCTTTTGAATGTCAGTCACATCGAACTTTCTAGTAAACACTTGTTGATCGCCTCTCTCTAGTCATCTCTGGATATATCGCCATCATTTGAGTGTCTTTCTTTTAGTGGTTGCGCGAAAACAGCAGAACTACAGGAGGCGTTCAACGAAGCGTTCCACAGGAAACTGGTTTCACTCAATGGTGCTGAACTGCATGGACAACTGCTTACGATCGCAAAGCATGAACCGGGTCTAGGTTAGTATGCGGTTTCCTGATTCTCTTTTCTATTTTCATTCAAAAGCCAGCGATGCTAGGCGTATGCTTGTGAGGATGATCGATTTTGGGGGAACCACACTGGGAAGGTTAGACTGTTTGTCAGGCCCCTGCTCGCTGATCGGTCTGTTAGAAGAGAGTCCATGGATCTTATGTGGGTTGCCGCAGACGGTCGAATCATGGTGAGATCCAGTCTGTGGTCGTTGGCTTGTTCGCTGAGCTGGGCAATTTGGCTACAAACGTTTCATCACCAATCGAGGTGACATCATCAGTGCGTAGTTGTGCGTAGCGGTGGGTTAGTGGTTGTGTGGTGATGAAACGTTTGCAACCAAATTGCCCAGCTCAGCGAACAAGCCAACGACCATCTACACTACCTGAGCTACCGACATTCTCCTCTATAGAAGATCCAGTCTGTTCTCAACACGGGTTAACCGCAAGGCAACGGGCTGCAAATGAGTACCTGGTAATCAGTTGTAATCGCCAGAGTGGAAAATAAAGCCCGTACAGTGGTCTTTGAAGAGATATGCACTACGTTCCGGACCAATATCTGTCGACGAAATCTGTTTCCACCCAAACCGCTGATGATGAGAATTTCACGGGGCTGTACAGTTTAAATGGTGATTAGTATCAAACTAAGCGCTGTGAGATCTTGGACACTTGTGGCGTGAAACCCTATTGGACACGCTACTTAACCGGTTCTATTACAAGACAGCTCAGCAGCTAAGTTGTTTCTAGTGTTTTTTTGGCTTCTGTTGGCAAAGATCCTTAGGAATATTGGCTCACTACTGTTAATCTCATTTTACCACTACAGAATGCTCAGCTGTATTCACCCAAATACTGCTCACAAGTGCAGGCACCTAGCTCAAGGTCGTTTATCGCTGGTTTCCTTCACAGCAATTACCTACCCATTCACCCTCCTGTTTACCCCACTAAGGCATTCTTCGAAGTTGTATTACAGTGGGACGCCGGTGTCCATCAATGAAGATTATTTCAAATTCAGTTTTCCTCATCATAACACCCGTTTGTCACGAATCTATTCATTTAGTTTATTTTGTATTGACAAAAACCTCACGCTTTCATGTTCGCTTTTCCTCGTTTCTCTCAAAAAATGAACAGGATACCTACTGGCAATGGATCAGCTGTTCGCAACACCGTTACCCAACCATGCCATGGCTAAAAACAGTCTAATCAACTCGGCTGAGTTGATTGAGCTATGTTTGCGGCTCAGCAACTTGTGTTTGACAACTATGGGTTGTGAATCCTGGTCTCCGAGCGCTCAGGGAACGGTCGTCGCCTCGAAGCCTCAAAAAGGCAAGTTGTTCTCCTTCTTTATTGCCTCAAGAAATCTCAGTGCACATCTATTGATCGTTCAGCTCTAGCACCCTCCATCGTGCCACACGAAGGAGGCACCGGGGCTGGGATACTGCCAGGTCGCCCAAGCCTAGACAGGGGAAGTCGAGAGGTAGAGGTCGGGTTCGAACGACGAACTCGTAAGCAGTGCATGCTCCACGAACTTTGTGAGAGGTTTGAAGCCGTCACGAAGAGACTGAACCTTACCGTAGTGTGACGGTCTGTGCACCTCATCGACCCATTGAGCTATGCTGGGGGGGGGGGGCTGTGCCTGCGACACTCACAGAGTCTCTCATACCAGGTTGGTCAATGTCTAGAGGTTTGACGAACAGTCTACTGGTTCTCCAGGTTAAGAGTTGGAACATGTGGCGACGTGTTTCGTAGAAATATTAATGCATTCACGTTTCCCGCCAAACACCGCTGCCTTATGGTTAGGCTTTTGAGCCAAAGGCTTTGGTTGAGGACCCTAATCGTCCCTAATCTATGGGTGGGTGCCCTGGCAGTATCCCAGCCCATGTAAAGCAATGACACTCACAACTAACACTACTCGGTGATAGTGCCCATTTTCAAAATGGGGTTTTGTAATGGGTGTGGCAACGACAGGCGGATCAGCTTGACTCTGATTGTAACGAGACTGTTGACGTCACCTGTACTTCGTCGCCTTACGGTGGCTCGTGAGACACTGACTCGAGAGCAGCAAGCGGGATTTCGGCCTGGTATGGGTTGCGTTGACCAAATTTTCACACTTCATCAGGTACTAGAACAACGCCATATGTATAAACGACCCACTATTCTAGTGTTTCTGGATTTCCGAGGCGCAATTGACTCGGCTGACCCGTCTGTTCTGCTTAACACGCTTGCCCGCCAAGGAATGTCCCAGAAGTTCGTGAACATAATAGGCTTTTTGTATTCCTGGACTTCCGGACGTGTGAGAGTATACGGCGAGCTCTCCAAAAGCTTCCGTTCACAAAGCGGTGTCCGTCAGGGATGCCCACTCTCTTCATTCCTGTTTAACTTCATGATCAGTGAAATCGTGAGAAGAATGCTGGAAGGTCTCTAAAAGCCCGGTGTTCAAATTGCCATAGAAGAAAATGTTGGTAGCTCAGGTTGGTTTGTTCGCCGAGCTGGGCAATTTGATTTCACCCGACCTCGAATGTGGTTTCCATGTGATATTCAGAGCACTTTTGACCACCCATGTTCAAACAAACGAGTAATTCATGGGCTGTCGATCGCTAGTACAATGTGGTATGACCCACTGGTTAGGCGCATCAATGCACTTTGTCTGTCACTAGCAGGGAGCATTGTGGGATTTACTCACGAGTATCTGGAGTTGGCGTTGCCTTGTTAGGGATTAAACCACACCTCTCCGGTGTTTTCAAATACGCGAAGGTACGTTTTTCCCTTCGCTCTCCTTTGTTTCACTCATACACTGCCTCAATGTTAATTGCGTACAGTTGAACATCGGTGTTGCTGAGGACGCGTGGAACTGAGTCATTAAAACTCGCTTTGGTTTCCTCCAACTTAAGCCCCCCCCCCGGGTTTGGCGTAAAATTAACATGTTGGGGACAGTCAGAGTGCAAGAGGCGGTAGTGCGTTCAACGTCACTTTACGGTTGTGAAACCCGACCATTGTGTTTGGAAGGCGGAAGCTTGCTTAGACATGGGAATAACAGTACTGAATTGCAAAGAACCGGTTTTGTTATCAAATCAGCTGTATTGATTTGATTCGATGCTGGTACCTCGTATTCATCGGGTGGTCGATTCGCCCTCCTTTTCTCCCCTTTTTGAAACAGGCTCGACTTAGGAGTTATCAAACATTGGGCCGCATGACTCGAGGACGACACGGCGCTTGGTCTTGTGTGGGTTGGTGCATGCGAGATTTTACTATCAGAGACTCACCACGTCGACAGTACTCACGGTTATGAGAGTGTTATTCGTCAACCTGCTGTTCTTTCGGTCGCTTCATTTTTCTGGGATGGGGGGATTGAGGCTTGCCTATCTTTCCATCCTACACTGTCCGCTACCACTTGCTGTGGCGACCCGAACCAGCTCATATACGTAGACGCTTCACGGCTGGTAAACTGAACATTTTTTTCTGAATTTGCGAACATTCCTTATTAGTGTATCCCAAAGTGAGATCGCACTAGCACTCAAATGAATATTTTCTCTTCGAGTGGCCAATACACATATGTTTTGAGGGTATGAGTGTATCTTATGGTTAAGAGGGTATTTATACTTTCAGACATCGAAAACCGAATTTCCTTTTGTGTACAACTTTGCTTTGCACTCAGCCAGGTTGCCCGAATGGTTTGTAGTACGGGCCTCCTTCATGATAGGTAATGCCCTCGAGGGAATTGCGAAATCCTTATAGAAACCGATCCTAAAGTGGTTGGTTTCTTGGGGCGAGATGGCGCGAATTTACTGACCGAAAGGTCCGTGGTTCGAACCCGACCTCTGCCTCCCAACTGCCCCTGTCTAGGCTTGTGCAACCTGGCAGTATCCCAGCCCTCGTGCGACCTTCGGGTGGCATGGCAGTTAGGCCCCGAAGGGTGCTAAAGCTGGACGTTTTTTTATTTCTTCAACTAGCGGAAGCACTACAATATACTCCCGGATGTTTTACGTTATTATATATCCTCCTATGCTAAAAAGTGTTTTACCGTCAATTTTCGTCTTTTTCCATTGAGGGGCCTCATCGTTTCGAGAATTGGGCGAATCGATCCTCCGCATCGCATTGGGTGAACAAGCAGATAAACTGCGTCGGACTGGGTACGTCGTATTTTTCCCCAGCCAATCATTTGAGGAGGTTGACGAGTTTTGGTGTTGTTAATGGTTTATGGCAGTGATCCTGAGGATGACACCGTATCCTCACCAGTATTTTCCAAACGTATCATCCTTGAGTTTGAATCGTGCCACACCGATTGAATTTCTCCTCCTTATTGTGCGTTTTCGGAAGGCGCTAACAGCTAATCCACACGCGAATTTATTGACCTGAAGGTCCATGGTTCGAACCCGACCTCTGCCTTTTGACTTTCCCTGTCTAAGCTTGGACAACCTGGCAGTACCCCGGCTCTCGTGCTTCCTTTGGGTTGCATGGCCACTAGGCACCAAAAGGATGTTACGGCTGAACGACCATCTTCGATCAGCTACTCCACGCGATTTGTCTTGTGACCTCGGTGACTTCTCTAAAGGGTAAACTTTCTGTTACTACTAACCGTGAGCCTTTGTAGTGGAGATAGTGATCTGTCCCAACTGTTGCAGTAAAGACGTTTCATAGATCTCGTCACGCCTAAGCGACTCCATTGGGTAACCGAGTGTTTTTCCTTCAGACCTCCGTACATAAGATGCATTCAGAGAGGGCAAATTCCACTCGGTGGACTTACTTTTCCAATGTAGGTTGCCTTCCATTAAAAGATGCTTCTACTCCAGAAACTCACAGTGCTGGGCGATCAGTGACCGAGTATCCTATCCCTGTTCGGTGTCAGTGCTGACGACGAGCTCTGCAAACTGGCTGTACACCAAATTGGTCCCGGTCTCCTTTGACCATCCTAATCGAAGTCATCACTTGCCTTCTGAGACGATAATGTTACCGTTGGCGTGGTGCGGCTACACAAGTTCATTCGGAAATCTTACCTGTCCTGCAATACTGTAAACATTGAAGAAACTGAGGTAGGCGCGACGGGCATAAAGTGCTTTCGATTCCGCCGTTAGACACCGCATAACTTGTCGGAGCTATCAATGGCCGTCAGGCCACCGCTTCCGGATATCTTCTGTTCCTTAAGGTAGCTTTCATCAAGCGTAAATCACGACTGGACAGAAACGAATTTCAGCCAATTCGATGTGGCGCACTTCAATAACCCTTTCGAGCAAGGAATCGGTTTCTTCATATATACGATCTTTGGGCTGCAGTTCCTGCCGAGCTAGCACAACAGTTCTCAACCAGAGGGTCGTGAAGCATTTCACTTGGTCGCTGTGGCTTCCTCTATTTCCAAATTATTTTCTACCAAATAGGTGGTAGACCAATGCAGAAATTGATTTTATGGATAGAGCACCTGGTAGGCTTGACTTTACGGAGTACCCACACGTCACTCGAAAGGTTGCTACCCTGTGGTCTATTCCTGTTTCTACTTGTATCTGTCAAACCCCTTACTTAGGTATTATGTAAATCTCTCAATACGTGTACGTTTTGATGTCGATATGTTGATCATGTAATTCCATTTTGATTATGACGGAGCTGGTACTTCTTAGTTAGTTAGTTGCCACACGCCTCCCACTCCCAACCTGAAGGGCCAGGAGTCTGGATTTAGCTAACCACGTGGTCATCGTCTTTAATCGTGACCTACAGAGGAGCTTTCCTGTCTGAGCTACTTTGGGCCTTCTTTATCAAGCAAACGATAGATTCTGATATCGGTGGATCTATCTTTTCCTACGTGACGTATTCCAGGAAGCCCAATTGAGTGACGCGCGAAATCACAAACCAGGAATTGTGAAGCCGTGAGGTTTACCAACAAAGTGCGGTGCCACATTTACAAAATATGTATTCAAAAGTGACACTAACCTCAAATTATGGAGATTTCTGTTTAATTGGTGCAAGTCTGAAGAAAGCCCGTCAAGAACGGTAACTCGATCGGTATTACCGAAAAACTTGCGCACACAGCACACAGCTGATGCAAGTGGTCCAAAAGCGCTCGTGAAAATTTGTAATGTACTACTCATAAGGTTGCTGAAAATCCGTCGGCTGCTCACGACCGGTTTCGCCCTTTTTGGGGCTCATCAGAAAAAAACCTAATTAGTATGCAAATAAGTGTAAATTCGCTAATTCCGTGCAATTTGGTTTCATGTAGAGCATAAGGTTGACGGAATCCTGGGAACCGCGCCTACCTGATGGGCCCCAAAAAGGGCGAAACCGGTCGTGGATTTTCAGCAACCTTATGAGTGGCACATTACAAATATATACATGTATCGCGATATCTCGAATATCTTAGCGACTGAAACATGAGGCGGCCTGGTGCAGCACATTCAGTTGCCTGGGAACATCACAAACGAGAGGTTCAGCTGGGTTCCAGGTGAGTCTCTCGGAAAAACCAAATTAGTTTGCAAATGAGTGTATATTCACTCGTGAAAAGTTCATCAGAATTGGTTAAGGGTCAACTGTCCATGCGGGTTGTGTGTGAATCGCAAATAGATGAGGTAGTCGCAGAAAACAGTGGGTTCAAGGAAGATAAGGGTTTGACCGGGAGAAAGGAGATACACGTGAATTGTTTCATTGATCCAAGCATTTCATTCAAATTCTATACTTCCAATTATAACCCTTATTCGTAGAATTCGGCCTGAGGCGATTGGGCGCAAGAGCGTTAGCTGCGATTACAGACAAATTCAGGGGGATACCTTGAAATGGGTAATGGCAGTGTGTACGCTTTTCTGAGCCAACGCAGGGGTTCCGCAATGGGAGCTTAAGTTGCAAGCTCTGTCGTATGGTTAGTAGAAAGTATTCAGACACCTAAATGAATCTGTTAGATAACGGAGTTCAGTAACTGTTTATCTGGGAGTTGGCTGTATCTGGCGTTTCAGATATGAATACTTTGGCTACCAAAACTAACAAGATGACGGGCATCCCAACAACTGATGGCCGGTTTCCTTCCTTATAGAATACCACAGCTAGCATGCTGGTGAACTTAGCCGATGTGTTAGCATAAAATGCTTTGCTTCCTATGGGCGATGTGGTCTGAGTAGACTCGCATGATTCAGTTATCATTAGAGTTTCACCAGGATTCATTACAGCCACGTGTTACCCGGCTTCCGATCCGGTATCTCATTTCTACGCATAGTCAAGTGGTTATTTCATCCACCCACTCCACAAAACATCATTCATGTTTTCGCCGTTGTTGGGCTGAAATCTTAGGCTGACAGCCAGTGGAAACCTCTGACACGAGAAATCAGTGAACTGGAATTCCTCTTCGGTGTGTCAGCGAGGTGCGGGAGATTCGAAACGACCATATATTCCCCATTGAACCATTGAACCGTTATTTCCCCAGGACCTGCTTGGTGTCCCCGTCAGGTTATCCCTTCCGTTTGATGCCCTACTGTACATAATTCCACCCTAGGGTTCATCTTGAACAGATCCGGAATAATCTGGTTATGGAGGTGTTATTTTTGGATGCATTGAGTAATTGCCTAGTGTAGTTCCGTTTTGTGCCGACTAGATTCTGCTTACCATTTTGGCAAGTTCGCTTTTACTTCTCCCTCTCTACTCTTTCTGGGTCATAGTGGCCAACAGTGCGGTGAATCGGACCCGGGAAACGGTGTGGATCTTATTCGTTTGCTACCAGAGTACCAGCACATACTTTCGTGGTCGTGGAACTCGCTCCGGGTAGGTGGTCTCGTATCTTCACCGAAACGGTTTTATTTACGGATGCCCACTCTCCCCATTCCCTTTTTATTTTGTGATCGATGAAATAATGAGACCAACGCTTCAGGGTCTCCAAAACCCTGGTGTTCAAATGGCCTGTGAAGAAAGCCTTGTCGATCTGGAATATGCAGACGACACCGTTCTCATGTTTGAAGAGGCGGAGAAGGCGCAAGTATTTTTGGATGAACTGATCAAAGTCACCCCGTCCTTTGGTATGCACTTTACACCTACAAAGTGTAAGGTCATGCTCGTGGACGTGTAGTCACTGAACACACCACGTACAATCCAGGGAGTGGTACTGGAGGTTGTGGAGCGTTTCACGTATCCTGGAAGTTGTATTAGTCCTGATTGTAGTGTGACAGATGAGGTGAGTGCACGAATCTGCAAGGCTCGGGCCGCGTTTGCTAACTTGAGACACCTATGGCGTCAGAATGGTTTATCCC